TGGACATGAGTTTGAGCAAACTCCAGGAGATGGCGAAGGACAGGAAAGCCTGGCGTGCTGCAGTCCATGGGGTCGCAAAGAGTTGGACACAACTGAGCAACTGAACAACAACAAAGGCCATGAAAACCAGTAGTTTTGCCGTCAGAGGGGGCAGACTCAGCTTGGGGTACTGGGGTGGGGTGCAGTAGAAAGCCACAGCTTTGTCAGCTAAAAGTGGCAAACTTGGTAGGAACCTAACTGGTTCTTCTAGCTTGAGGCTGTGGTCTGACTGGTATGAGTGGCAGATCAGCTACAAATATGAAGGGAAGATCCTGGAAATGAGAGAATTGTAGAATAACTAGTTATGTTCTCCTGATATTCCTGACTGACTGTGAAAATACAGGGCTGTGGAGGGGGAGACAAAAGAGGGTCCAACAAAAAGAATAAGCGAAGGCATACTTGAGAACTGGCTGGACTCTAAATGTACTTTCCAAATCACAAACAGATCAATAGAAGGTAGAAGCTTTCCACACTCTAGGTGCTCAAGCACAACTTAGGCCCAAATCACTGTCTATGAGGAGAGAGGAGTGACTCCCAGCCAGGATAAAAAGTAAAAAGGAGAATAAAAATCACTAAGTAGACACATCAATGACCATGCAGGAGTCACAGTCCACAGTTTAATCCAGGTAAAGTACTAAAAACACACACAAAAACACTCATCTCTATGCTTCTCAAAAACAAACCCAACAAACTTCAGTGTTAAAATATATTACTAAAACATCCAATTTACTAAAAAGTTACAAGACATGCAAAGAAATAGGAAAAGTGTGGCCCTGACTCAAGCAAGCAAGCAGTAACTAGAAACAGGCTCTTAGCAGGCCTAGATGTTGGAGTTAGCAGATGACTTCAAAGTAATGATCACAAATGAATTCAAAGAATTAAAGGAAACATGACAAGAATGAAAGGAAATATTCCCTAGTCAAGTAGGGAATCTCGACAGAACTATAGATATCCTAAATGAAAATTCTAGAGTTGAAAAGTACATTAACTAAAAATGAAAATTCACCAGATGAGCTCAATAACTGATTTGATCTGGTGGAATAAAGAATAAGTAAACTGAAACAGATCAACAGAAATTATCCAATCAAAAGAAAAGAGAGAAAAAACACTTTAGAAAAATGAATAGACCTTTTGATCCAGCTTAAAAACAAACAGAATATGAACCTGTAGGGAACAAATAAGCGTCCCCATATACTTGTGGCAAAAGTCCCAGAAGAAGAGAAGGAAAGAATATTTGAAAAAATTATGTTCAAAAATTTCCCAATTTTGATGGAAAACAATCTGCAGACCCCCAAATTTCAATAAACTGCAAGTATGATAAAAACAAAAGTATCTATCCTAGAAATATCAGTGTCAAACTGCTCAAAGTCAAAGATAAATAAAAAATCTTGAAGACCGCAAGAGAAAAACAGCTCAACACATACAGGGGCACAACAGCAGCGTTAACACTGACTTCTCACTGAGGTCACAGGGCTGAGGAGACCGGGAAACTGTCAGCCAAGGATTCTACAGCTAGCAAAACTCTCTCTCAAAAATGAAGACAAGAGAAAGACGTTCCTAGATACACAAAAGCAGAAAATCTGTTTCAAGCAGACCTAGCCTCCAGAAAATCCTACATGATGTAGTATCAGCTAAAAGGAAATGACATTAGAAAATAACTCAAATCCATAGGAAGAGACGAAGATCAATGGAAATGGTAAATTTCTTTAAAAATAAAAGATTTTTAAAAGCAATAACTGTACTCCTATATTGTTTCATTTCATCGACAATAACCCTGCACAAAGGATGGTAAGGGACAGAACTCTATTGGACCAAACTGCTATATTTTATCAGCAGCATAACACACACACACACACACACACACACACACAGAGCCATCAGTAGGTTGTAATAACTCCAAGATGTAATTCTTGATCAAGAACTAAGAAAATACAAAACTAACAACAACAAAAAAATAATTTTAAAAATTGCAAAGGGATTCAAAAGATACAGAAAGAATCATTTACTATAAATCAGTAAAGAAGGAACAATAAAGTACAAGAGACATATAAGAACAAATAGTAAAATGGCAGACATAAATCCACCTATATTAACAATTATATTAAAAGTAAATAGACTAAATACTCTGATAAAATGGCAGTAATTTTCAGACTGGAAAAAGAAGTAAGATCCAGATTTTTGTTTGTTTGTTTGTTTTCCCCCAAGAGATATACCTTAGGTTCAGAGTTTGAAACTAAACCAAGGAAAAAGATGTCATGCAAACAGTAATTAAGAGAGAGTTGCAGTGGTAACATTAATATCAGACAAAACAGACTTAAGACAGGAAATACTAAGAGAAACAAAAAGGGACATTTCATATTGATAAAAGGCCTAACTGGTTAGGAACATTCTGTAGGACAGACCATCTTATCTACCAAGCCATAAAACAAGTCTCATTAAGTTTAAAAAAACTGAAATCATACAAAGTATATTCTCTGAGAACAATGGGATTATAAAGAGAAAGACTTGGGACATCCTTAGACATCTGGGAATTAAACACACTTCTATATAAGCTACGACCAAAGAAGAAATCATAAAGAAAAATTTAAGAATATCTTGAACTGAATAAAAATGCAAACACAATATATCACACTTTATGGGATGCAGCTAAAGGGAAACTTAAGGGGAAAAGTGTAGCTTTAAACACATATTAGAAAGGATAACATTCTAAAATCAACGACCTAAGATTACACGTCAAGAAGCTAGGAAAATAAGACCAAATCAAACCCAAAGCAAGCAGAAGGAAAGAAATAACAAAGTTCAGAATGGAAATCAATGACATACAAAACAGAAAAACAATAGATTTTTAAAAGTCAATGAAATCAAAAGCTGGTTTTCTGGAAAAAGCTGCAAAATCAAAAAACCTTAGCTAGATTAACCAAGAAAAAAAGAGAAGACATAATTACCAAAATCAAGAGTGAAAGGGTGGGTATCACTACGAATGCCGTAGAAATTAAAATAATCAATGGAATTATTATTAGAATAACTTTATACCAACAAAATTACTAATTAACAGGTAATAGAAAAATTCTAGAAAAACACCCATTACCAAAACTGATTTAACAAGAAACAGAAAATAGCAAAAAGAAAAAAACTGATAACTAGCAAAGAAATAGACTTAGTAATTAAAATACCTTGATAAAGCCTCTGATTTATAATATTTTATTCTTTCTTTTTCCTTTTCTGGTACTTCTGTTACATCTGTAAGTTTATCATCATCTGTACGTGATTTGGAAATGCAGCCAATACAGCAGCCTGTGTATTTTAATTCTAGAATGGATGCTAAAGAAAGCCTCATTTGTTAACCATCATGCCCAGACTTTTCAAATAAATGGTCTATTACAGTCCATTACCTATGAATTATAAAATTATGTGCTTCTATATAACTCTGACTGACACTGATAAGATAACATGTCTTCAAGGGAAGAATGGATTTTTCTTGGTGGTCCGATAAAAGAAAATGGGAAGTATTTGCAGGTTAAATCTATCCTTATGCAACAAAAGCTTCCCCTACAAGGCTCTTTACAGGGAAGTAAATCTTATCAAGTGGTTTAAAGGTTGAGTAAAGCTCTCCTCCTGATAACCTGATACAGAAAGGTAAAAAGAAAGCTAAAAACCAGAGAGAGATCTTTCTATGCAGAGTATAGGACATTTTTATCTTAGGAAATATACCACACAATCCCATAAACGAAATGATTTCCTGTATGATGTGATAACATACCTATTGCAATTTATGATGCTTCCTTTACTCGCTTACTAAGTTAGTAGTAATAGGTAAAGTCAAAGAGGTAGGCTGGGGCCAGGGATTAGTAAACCAAGTACAAGTTTGGATTTTATTCTAAGTATGTTAGAAAACCATTAGAATCAAACAGGAAAATAGCATTATTTGCATTAAGAGAAAAAGGATCTTGGCTGCTATGTGATAAATTAGGCAATAGTAACAGAAAAAGTGAAAAGGTTTGGATTAGAGTGGTGACAATGATGATGAACACCTCACATGAATTAAATTCTAAGTCTCCTAAAAGCCACTTGAAATAGGTGCTACTGTCTTCATCTTGCAGATGAGCAAGTGCCAAGGCAGAGAGAGATTAAATAACTGGCCAGAGGTCATACTACTAATTAGAGATGATATTAGGACTCAGACCTAAAAAAAAATGGAAGTGCTGAGCTCTTAATTATGGACACTGATCAGCTATGGTCTTAAGATGAAGCGAAGAGGCTGAAGTAAGAAAATATTCTAGAGTCATGGTGACCAAGACTTGCCAATGGATTGGATGCAGAGATGATGGAAATAGAGAAAAAAATCATTCATAGGTTTCGCTTGAGCAGCTAGGTAAATTTAGTAGTATCATTATACAACATAGAGAGGATAAAGGACAGAAGGGAAAGGAGTCCGAGGACCCAGCTCTGGAGTACTACATTTAAAGCTGAATAGAGAAAGACAAACCAGCAAGAAAGACCAAGAAAGGACTTTCAGCGCCTAAGAGGGAAACAGGGAGCGTCATGAAAGCCAACAACTCAAGTGTTTCAAGGAGGACGGAGGAGGCAATGTGTTGAATACTGCTGACAGATTGTGGACAATGAGGACAGAGAAGCACCGTGAGATTTCGGCAGAATGAAGGTTACCCATAAAGCTGAAAAGAGCAGCATCCTGCTAAGTTAACTCTCATCATCACACGTACCTTGTTTTACCGTCTGTCTCACCTCTAGACTGTAAGCTCCTGGGCAATGACCAGGAGCTTTATCCTAAATCCTTATCTTCTAATTACAAAGCTTGGAGTAGAATGGAAATTACATTAGTGCTATGCAATGTAATGTAAATGCAAAATTAATTCAAAGGGTTTTTGGGTGTGATGATTAAGAAGATTTCAACAGGACGATGACACGCCTCCTTCTGTTTCGCCACCTCATCACTCACGTACCGTCAGAGATCCGTTCTGCGTGCTGGGCGAGCTGCTGCTCTGCTCCCCGTGGGCCTGCGTGCTTCCGTACAGTGTCAGGCTGTGCTCGCTGGTCTGGCCGGCATAGTCCTGAGTATGTGGCACTCCATACTCTGTGGGAATTCCATTCTGTGGAGGTGGTGGAAATGGGATGGTAGTAAAAGGCTGAACCATTGCGTCAGGAGTTGTTGTTGGCTCCTGGTTACCCTGGAACAAACAGAGAAAGAGAAGATCAGACTAAAAAATAAAAAGTTGTCTAGTTACCAAAGGACCAAAGATTTTCCTTTAAACCAAACTTTTTTAAATGCAAGGATATTTGTTACAGAAGATAAGGTACAAGATTTGAAATTCATTTGAGCCATTACTGTTTTCTTTAGTACACTCTATTACTTTAGTGATTCTTAGGGGAAAACAAATTAATTTCACTAAATTACAATTCTTTGTAATTTATTTGTAATTTGTTGTAAACTCCAATATTTTGGCCACCTGATGCAAAGAACTGACTCATGTGAAAAGACCCTGACGCTGGGAAAAGACTGAAGGCAGAAGGAGAAGGGGACAACAGAGGATGAGATGGTTGGATGGCATCACCAACTTAATGGACATGAGTTTGAGCAAGTTCCGGGAGATGGTGATGGACAGGGAAGCCTCATGTGCTGCAGTCCATGGGGTCGCAAAGAGTTGGACACAACTGAGCGACTGAATTGAAATTACAATTCATAGCAACAGGTAGAATGACAGTATAAATTAAATTCTCAAAACCAGATGATATATACCTCTAGATTTTAAGAACACAGAGTTCAGGAGAAAGTATACTGTTAACAAAATTAATCTTTGAATTTCAAGGTAGAGATTTATTTAAGTCTTGGCCACTAGGTTAATTAAAAAAAAAAACAAGCCAAAAAAACCCTTTCCTTAAATTAGAAACTAGACAAAGAAATTTCCTAGACAAAAACCTTGAGTTTTTCATAATACTGCTGGCATTTCAAGGTTAGCAGATGCCTCTCCACATGGCGCCCATCCCCAGGTGCCTGCTTGGGATCTCACGTGGTACCTCACGTATCACTACAGCACAGTCACTCTGGAGACCGTGTGAAGCCGTTGTGACTCCACAGCCCGTCTTACTTCTGTTCGGTCTCTAAGTTCAGATACAAACAAGGGGTTAAATCTCGTGTAAGAGATTTTGTAAAATCCTCCCTTCTCAACGACTGACCTTCTGACCTCCCATTTTAGTCCATAAAAGGCAGAGCCATTATTTTACTAAAAACAAACACATTTTCAAAGTCCGGGGCCACGATCCTTTTGGAAGTAGCTGGTAGAGATGGTCAAATGCTTCAAAGTGGTAGCACTTTGATAAACCCCTTCCCCCATATTTTAGACATGAAATCATTAGGGATCAAAGAAAATCTGGGTTTACATCATTTGGATTCCTCCTAGTCATGAACATCACTTCCTTCAAACAACAAAGTAATTATTCCTCTTTCTTCCTCTGTTATGGTTATCCTTCTTTCCCCTCAACTTAAGAAGGGATTCTCTACCTATTGAGAGCTACAGGAAACTGAACTTCTAGCAGCACTGTCTACACCATTCCAGGTTTTTAGCATTAATTTGATGGCCATTAAACTCATACTATCACAAATAAAATGAATCCAAAACTGGAGAAAGATTTCACATTACTTTTTAAAGGAGGGTTCAACTATCCTTTAAAATCTGCCTAAAATAGAACAAATTTACAAAGGCTATTATAAATAGAGAAATATATGATCACAGATTGGGGAGCTGGATATTCGTAAAATGACAATGCACCCCAAATTCCACAAACCCAATCAAAATCTCAGCAGGTGTTTTTGTATAAATCAACAAGTTGTTATTAAAATTTATATGGAAATGCAAAGGATCTAGAGTAGTCAAAACAGTTTGAAAAAACACAGACTGGAAGACTTTCACTACCTGAGTTCAAGACTTACAAAGTGATGATAACCATAATAGTGTGGTACTGGTTTAAAGACATACAATAGACAAATGAGATAGAAAAGAATCCAGAGACAGAAATAAACATTTACAGTGAATATTAAGGCATCAGTCAATTTATCAGGGGAATGGAAAGAATCTGTAATAAATGAAAAATTGAATACCCAATGAAAAAAAATAAACCTCAACTCTCATCCTCTATTTGTAAAAGTTAACTTGAAAGAGACAAAAGACCTAAGTGTAAGAGTTAAAACTATAAAACTTTTAGAAAAGGCAGGAAAATCTTCACAGCTCTGTGATAAACAAGAAATTTTGGGGACACAAAAAAATTAAGAACTATTAAAGAAAAAATGACAGACTAGATTTCACCGAAATTAAAAAACAATTGTTCTCCGAAAAGCAACTTAATAAAGAGACAAGGCAGAGACTGTGAGACAACATTCATAATACATATACCTGGTAAAGGACATAGACTCTATAAAGAAATGTTACAGATCACAATGAAAAGAACAAGGCATGTTTGAAAGAAAGCTAATGACTTTTTAACAACCACGTCCCACATAAAGATATACCAATGGGCAGAAAATACTTGAAAAACTATTTTAAAATATATGAATGGCTCTTTTAAAACTAGCAATAATCATTTATTCAAAAGAGTACCCAAATTTAAATTATAATATAAAACATACAATATATAAGATCTGAATAAATAGAAAGGTATATTTATTTCTGAGTAATAATAAATATAAAAGGTTAATCGTTCCCCAAATAAAATATAAACCTAGTATAATTTCCAATTAGAAGCAAATCAAATGGTGCCTAAAGAAGGAAACAGGACCAAATACTTTTCTAACTTGCATATGAAAAACTTACTAATAAAGTCTGCAAAAGGAAAAACTATGAAAGAGGAGATGCTCTATCATATATTAAAACTTGCCATAAAACTACTATGATTCAACAGTAGGAATATACAAAATGATTAAAGGAACATTGATAATCCTGATTCAAGTTTATACGGAAATGCAATAGAAGATAAAAGTGGCATTTCAATTCAGCGGAGGGGATGGTTATTTATCATATGCTATTTGTATTGAAGAGGATTCCCTGGTGGCTCAGATGGTATTTGTATTGAATAGAAGTTGGCTACCCACCAAAAAGAAAATACTCATGCTCCATGCAAAAAAAAAAAAAGGAATAAAATACAATTAAAACTATGAAAATATAAGAAATATTGGGAGTGTTACTGGGGTGGGGAGATTCTTAAGACAGGGAACCTAAAAACCAGAAAGGTTTAAAAAAAAAGATTTGGCTATGGGAAGACAAGAAGAAAAGAAGAGAGAGAGGAGAGGGAGGAGGGAAAAAGAGAGGGGAGAAATGGATTTTAAAGTCAAGAAAAAACAACTGGGGAAAATATCTGCAAAGTAAGACAGACACACACTGGTAACCATCACTAAGTGCAGGTTATTTAAACTGATGAGAAACACACACACATCAACAGAAAAAGAGGCAAAGAATATAACAATTCACAGAAGATGAAAAACAAATGTCTGTATGATTAAAATGCTTAATCTCACGAACAAACTAAAACACATATTAACGGCAAAATAAGTCCAATATTTTCACCATCAAATCATAAAAAAATAAAAAACCGTTTTATTGACACAGTTATAATTGACGTATACAGTTGGCCTTCTCTATCTGTGGGCTCTGCAGCGTGTATTCAAATAACGACTGATTTAAAAATACTAGGGGAAAAAAAAAAAATCCCAGAAAAATAAAGCTTTACTTTGCCATAGTCCAGCAATGATCTACATTGTATTTATAACTATTTACATGACATTTACATTGTACTAGGTATTATAAGCAATCTAGACATGATTGAAAATATATGGGAGTATGTGCACAGGTTATATGCAGTTACTAGTTATGTCATTTTTCAGAAGGGACTGAGCATCTGTGGATTTTGGTATCTGCAGGGGGTCTTGGAATCAATTCCCCGTGGATACCGAGGGAGAATTCTACAATAAATCCCACTGATTTATTCATAGTGTATGCTTTGGTAAGTTTTGACATGTATGAAACCATCACCACAATCAAAACAGTGAACATATCTATCCACACCGCCCCCCCCGCCAAATTTCCTCATGCTCCTAATAAGTTTATATTACTTTTGTAATAAAGCCTACAAAGTATTTTTTAATATAAAAAGAGAATGGTGACTAGTGTAATCAGTAAAGGGAAACCAATATACTGAAGCATTGAATTACTGTGCTGTTCTTAAAAAAATGACATTGACATTACCTACAGAAGTTATACAGCATCAAAATTCAGCTGTCTCTAGGGTCTAAGAATCACATCTACAAAGTAATAGGAACTGCTTTACATAAAAATCCTTCCCTTTATTTAGTTCTTAAAAATTATGCTAGTTTTTACCCGTAATTTTTCAGGAAAGAAAATCCCTGTCGTTTATCACTACGTAAGTTCTTTTCATGATCTCAAGGTCAGGGTATTGTAAATGACTTCTCTTTAGCTTTTTGGTGGACTAAGAAGGAAATAAAATAATTCTGTCCCTTCTCTTTCAAATTATTCAGTGCTATCTATCTACCTACCTACCAACCGACATGAAGCATACTACTTCAGAAGTCCTCATGGGATTTACTGGCCTGAAGACATATAAGAAAAAATTCTATTTCAGGTGGGTTGGTGAATAAAAGGGAATAAGGGCACCAAAGGTATTCACAGACCTACACTCCAACTCCAGGCATAAACAGAGACACAGGACAGGTCTACTAAATAACCCGTAAAGGCTAAGGACACTGCTGTGCAGTTTATCAACACAGCAAGGGGGACTTATAATGCCCCACTGGGCTGCTCTCAGACTCTCCTCCTCCAGGGCAGCCTCCATCCTCCACTTCAGGTCTGCCGGGGAGGATGCTCTGGCACACAAAACACAATGTTAACTCTTCCCCAGAGGCAGCCTTGACAAAGCTGGCTCAGTCAAGTGAACAAACCTGTCAATTAGCAGCGGGAGACGGGGGAAGAAAGGTCAAAACTTCTAAGATTCGCTTGCGGCCTTTGTACCATGTATTTCAAAGTAATGCAAGACAGGTAGAGGCTGAACTGTTTCTCCCTCAAAAGGGAAATGTAAACCCTTATCAGGAGATCAAGAAGAAACTCTTGATAGTTTATTTTGTTACACACAGGAATTTTTTTAATGTTGTTAAAAAACACTATGT